AATGATGAATATTTATTGAAGTCCATTATTGCGTTGATTTTTTTTACTCTGTTCATCAGTTATTTGAAGTATAAAATATATATGTCCCTAATTCTGATCGGTATTGGAGACTTTTGTACATTTCAATAGTTACCACGTGAATTTGGTAGGTTACAACAAGTTTTCAGGAACACAAAAAATATTTACAAAAATGACAACTCTAGTTGGATATATTCAGATATATTTGACGTGGACATTCAACATTTCTGATTTGTTTGTTGAAATAACTTATTTTTTGAACAAATACTTCATAGGGTTCTACAAACAAAGGTTCTGATTCGTTTTTGATATATTCTTAAGTGTGCTACTAACACAAAATTTCTCTTCACCGTATGAGCAGTGAATAGTTTGACATTAATTTGATACAGGATTATGCTGAACTGGTAAGAGTATATTTTCAGGGCAGTAATTTTTGGGAAAGAATAGTTTTGGCTTTCTACTTCTTCATCTCCATACACATGGAATCTTTAGAAGATACCCACATGTTTTTTGTATTGAAATGAAGAAAGTCAAAACTTTTCTTTTCTCCTTAAAAAATATTCCCTTTTCAATTCAAATAGGATTCCTGTGGCTGGAATTGAATCGAATAAGCGAATGACAGAACGGAATAGTACTGTCATCGCTGGGTTTTTTCCAAATTGTATCTGAAAGTTACTTTTTTGCAAGATGTACATATCTTTGTTAAGAACTTATTTTGGAATTAATTGCTTTTTTCCTTTCTTTGGCTCTTCAGCTTCCAAGAAGAACGTTCCCTGCAAGTGGCCGTCGATGGATACCTCTCGAATACTTTTATCATCAACGCTGGTGTTCCTCAGGGATATATATTCTGTCCAACCCTGTTTTTATTGTATATCAACGTATATCCAATTCTTGGAAAAAACCAAGAATGTAATATATTGCTTTGATGACGACAGCACACTTGTCTAGTCATTTCATTTGGAATCCAGGATATCGGCTACGGATGCACATCTTCACCGGCAGAATGAGATTGAATATCTCAATGAGGATTTCGAAGTGATTTCGAATTGAGGTGGAACTAATCCGGTTCAAATCAATACCACATAAACTCAAGCATTGGTTTTCTCCAAAAAGATAAATATCTCCAAACCGGATAAAATAATGTCAGGACAGACAATTCCGCTTTCTGCTTCGATTAGCACCAGTATGTCTTGGCACAATCATGTCGCTAAAATTGCAAAGGTTGCTTCTCATAAGGTTGGAACACTCTTTCGAACCAGAAACCTGTATACACCTCAGCAACTTTTGATAAAGCCCATATCAGACCTTCTTTGGAGTATTGTTCTCATGTATGTAGCTTCGCCCGTAAGCATACCCTGAACCTGCTAGATTCTATCTAGAAAAGAGTCATCCGCCTGATTGGAGACGCGAACATCACTTGCAATCTTAATAGTCTGGTACATCGAAGGAAAGCTGGGTATTTGTTTCTCCTTTATGGTTACTTTCACGAAAAGTACCAAGTCGGACGCGTCGGGCTGTGAATCCACTATGAATCCAATCTCCAGCGATTCAAATCCAATATAAATCACTACTTTTGCACAGACACCGCTTTCGAAGCGCCTCAAGGATTTTCCTGTGCTTGTGTTCCCACATCTTTTTTGTATAAAGACCTAGGAATGGAAAGCCAAAATCTTTGTTTGCCAGGAAAGATTGTGATATATCCACTTTTTCTTTCATTTCAGAGTAAGTCCTTTTTGTCGATCACAATAAAATTATTTTGAAGCACATCATCATCATCATCATGAGAAATGAAACTTCCTATATATTTATACCACTTGTGGTATAGAAAGTTGTATAAAAACATAGAAAGATTTATCTCTCATTCTTCATGATGATCTCCTACCACGTGGTAACGGTTACATCCACCAATTTATTGAATCTTAGCGATTATGCGGTTCTTAAGTTAAAGAGTTGAATTATTTTCATATTGGTCACGTTGGTTCAAATAATTTATGCTTCTATAGAAAGGTTAATGCAGTCAAGCTGCTGGAAAATATATCCATAGATAAGTACTCTTTGATCATTCCCATATTGATTTCAATTTAAGAGCAGCTATTTTTATCAAGTACTTTCTTGGTTTTTCTCATTTTGTCTTCAATCGAGAACCGCCTGCCTGGTACTGACGATGCCCAATAGGCTGAATCAGCTGTCTACCTGTGGCTCTTTTTTTTAAACATGAGGTGGTCTATGTCGAAACTTGGTTTTGCAACAGATTGCAAAGGAAAGTATCATTGGATGCGCAAGGTTATAATTGGTAAAGGCTGATGTTGATCAAATTCTGTGAATTCCATACTTTTCCGAGGATGTTACGTTATGAAATTTAACTTTTTCCAATTTTTATGTGCGATAGTATCATTTTTTCAACTAAGAATTTGTATTGTGTATTCAAGCCAAGATTAAACTTCAGAAATCATTTGAATCAGTCGTGAAATGATCACCTAGAATAATCACATTCATGTTAGCTTTCTTCAGAAATTTACCTGGAATGATTTCAGTTGGTCCCTGCCCCAATTCGCCATAATAGGAAAACTGGTATAAATAAACGGGCACTTCCGAAGATATGAGCTCGGCCTGTTTACAAATTGGAGTTATCATCATCCTATCGCTAAACCACTGAAAAAAACCATAATGAAATTACTAGTTAATGTTTGTATAACGAAATGCTGTTATAAATCTGTTACGTTCCAGAAGACATTATAACTTTCATATCAAGCTGGCAGTTTACCCGACGTAGCTTTCATTGTCGGTATCTCTTTTTCGACGAAGGTTCCGCAGAACCTCAATTACATTTGGAATATGTAATGCACTGTTTGGAACCTTTGGTGCAGTAATGAATATTACTGGAGTTCTATCCCAACACCAATCCTTCTATTACAACACCTTGACACGTTTTTCAATCACCAAGTGATCATTGTGAAGAGGTTGGTGTTGGGATAAAACTCCAGTAATATACACGTCGGTGAAAGTCTACGTAACCTTTGTCTTGTTTACATTTGTCCACCCTTTTAAGCCAGTTTTTCCACACAGGTTACTCAGCTTTTATTCAGGTACCTTACAAGCCTAAAGAATGTAACTTCGAAGTTCTTCAGTATATTTCTCTAGAAATTCAACTGAGATGAGATGTTTTTGATATGAACTCACCCTACAAAATGCGCCGATATCTTCTTGAAATGAAGTATTTGTATACACTTTTTTGAGGAGTTGACCAGCGATTGTTCTGTTTTCTGGAGACATATGTATTAAATCTGTTATCAGTTCATCAGGATTATCATCTATCTCAGCACGCTCAGTGAGGTTTGTATCTGGAATTGAATATTCATGAAAAAATATCACCACAACTCAAGGAATACCTATTCTCAGTATCCAAACTACAAACTAGGAAAAAAAATATTTCTTATTGGTACTCTATTTTGCTTATCTGAAGTAAGCCTCAGCGTGTTTGGATCCAACTTTCAAAACCGCTCTTTAGAGAGATACTATTTATGTTTCGGGAATAGCAGATAATAAGAAACATTTTCTAATGAAAATTGCTATATTGTTTTTCGAAATATTTCCCTTGATGATTAGTACACTTTTGCATTCGTTCAAAACATTTGTCAAAGCAGTGTTTCCATTCCTCTCGATACACCTCCAAAACATGATGTTTGAACACTTCAACTGCTTCTTTGGCACTCGTAAATTGTTGGTCACGTTGTTTACTTCTGATATTCGGGAACAAGAAGGAGTCATTGGGTGCCAAATCAGAACTGTATGGAGGATGAGTCATCAATTCGATGTTTGCCGAAGTGTGTGAGAGCTCACATTGTTATGATGGAGAATGATTCATCTTCGGCGAATTTCTCCGAAGACTTTGGACAAACAAATGCTCGTGTACCACCCAGAATTGACCATTTTACTTCGCTCAAGCAGAACACTGGCCACATGACCTATTCGGCCAAAGAAATAGGCGACCATTTGCTTCGCAGTGCTTCTACCATGAACAACTTTTATTGAAATTAGCTTGTCGTGGAATAGTTACACAGTCGGTTGCTGTTTTGTTTCCGGCTCATACGCATATATCCATGATTTGTCACCTGTCAAGATTTTATACACGTCTTTTTAAGCACCACAGTCGAACTTTCCAATCATTTCCTCACACCATTTGATGCGAGCTTTTTTTTTGAATGATTGATGAATTATGGGGTATCCAACGAGGACACATTTTTTCACAACTAAGTGTTCATGCAAAATCAAATGTATTGAAGTGGAACTAATTTGCAACTAATTTTCCTTTATCTCACAATATGTCACATGAAGATCTTGCATTATCAGTTCACACACTGCATCGATGTTTTGTGGTACAACAAGCGATTTTGGACGACCTTCACGGATTTCTTCGGCGACCGAACTACGACCACGAATAAATTCACTATACCAGATATACAGGGAGAAGCTGAATAAGTGTGAAACATTTAAGGAGGTGATTCCTCATCGGAAAAAAGATAGGATATTTCATATAAAGAAACTTCATTGGAGCATCCCTTAAAGGGGATACATAAAATTTGTATACCAATTTTTTTCNGCTGAGATAGAGAGAGTTGATAGCATGAAATTCTTAGGGATTTTTCTAGACAGCAATCTCAATTTCCGTCAGCACTGCGATAATCTCATCAAAATACTCAATAAGCAGTGTTATCTGTTGAGAAACCTGAAAAGAATTCTAGACAAATCTGGTCTACTCCTATATTACCACGGTCAGATACAATCAAGAATCAACTATTAGTACAAAACGTCAGGTAAATTTTTATATTATAATTTTTTTAGTGCTTGTGAAAAAATTGTTATACAAATTTTATGTACTCCCTTTAAGGGGCTGTATCTTAACAAGGGATGATCCAATGACATTTCTTTATATGAAAGATCCTATCTTTTTTTCGATGGAGAATCACCTCCTTAAATGTTTTACACTTATTTAGTTACACCCTATATACTATGGTTCTTGATGATGCTTTATCACCATACAGGGAAATAAGTCCATTGACACATTTTTGTTGAAATATTCCACGTTGAAAGTTGTGAAAAATAATCCAACAAAAAAATTATCTTGAAATTTTCCTCAAAATGAATAGGCATACTTGGAGACTGGCTGTGAATCAAATTATCTAGAAGAACATTTTGTTCAGACCAGTCTCAAATTACCAACAATGTAGGTTATTGGACTGACAGCTATCTGAAAACAACTACTCCCCTGGCTAATACCACGAAGGGCATTGTATCATGTACGACAGGTATCAGTGCAGGATTCTCCACTGAAGTTATTCCTGCATATGCTGTTGGCGGTACAATTGACGGAATCGATTTTCAATTATTGGAACACACTTGCAGATCAGTTTCGGGCTGTTTGCCCTCTCGTCGGATATAATCCAACGCCCTTCGTGGTATTAGCCAGGGGAAAAGTTGTTTTCAGAAAGGTATCAGTCCATTAACCTACAGTGTAGGTAATTTAAAACTGGCCTGAAGAAATTGTTCTTTTAGATACTTTTCTTTTGAAATTTCCATTTTTTGGTCAAATTGTTTTTTTTTACTGTCTGTAAACAGAACAAATAGCACTTGTACATCAAAACTTTGTGGGTACCTTCATGCTGTTATGTTACGTTATATTATCATGATGTTGCCACATTTTACCTATTGACATTAGTGTTGCCATTTCTCGTAATATAAATATTCTCTCATGGTACCATCAACCCGAAAAACGTTAAGTGAAATGTCAACTCTTCAGTCAATGCTCAAATACTTACAACTGATTTTTTGACATATATGTCATACTGGTAACGTTATCCATCTGGGTGTGACGTAATCGATGTTTTTTTATGAGAATAGTGGTTTGTGTGATAGCTTATTTGAAAGAATGATTCTTACTCTATGTAGTGATATAAATATAATTATTCATACAAGGTGACCAAAAAATGTTCAACTTTTGAATTGAATTGACTAACATAACAAGAAGTATATATAATGTATTCAATACATTTTGATTCACTTCTACAGAATCCAATTTCACTAACAGTGGATTGTGTCATAGGTGTATTAGGATATTTTATAATAAATAATCAATTGCTATCTGTTGGGTTCTGGTTTCATCTCCATATGCAACCATCATCAATAACAAATTTTTTGTGTATCACTTGATGATGTCATTAGTTATCGACTTCATGCAAGCGACTTATCATTTATGTCAATACCTTCCAGAAATAATTGAGAATGATCTAGATCGCTGAAAGACCACAAAATTTTCAAGATTTGAGAAAAGAATCAGATTGGCAACTCGTTACATGACTTCAGGAATGATCTACAATGATCAAGAATAATATTGTCGTCGATTCAAATACAACCAAGAGGCAGATGGGTGGCAATTTGAACATTAAATTTAACAAAAAAAATTTTTTTATCGATTGAACTTTTTTCTGTTTCCTGACAGTAGTAAAATGTATTCTATATTTGTTGAATCAGATGAATACTTCGCGTAAGTTATTTCAATTCAAAAATTAATTTTTTTCATTTTTCGGCCACCCTGTATAAATGTTCATATCCATAAATAGAAAATTTAATGAACTTTCGAATGAGCTATCACACGACTCATACTCCTATGAAGTAATCAACGAATACATCATCACGCCCATATGGATAACGTCACTATATGCCAAAAAATCATAATTTGAAAAAAAAAACCCATTCCGGAATTTCTCTAAAGCGGCCTATTCTCATAAAATAAATGAATTTGAAAGAATCATTTAACTCACCCAGTGCTGAATACAACCATTCCTCCGAGTTGAAACCCATCAATATTGGTATTTTTTTGAAGTTTCCATCCATGAATGACTGTAGAGGGGGATACGAGAAAGGTCCTTGTTTTTCTATAACGGTACCGCTTGCCGCAGAGCAAGCCTTGAAAATGAAAATTTTCAGTATACAAATTCAATGTTGTCAAAAACAGTGGTTTTTATTGAAAATTGATTGCGAATTTCATTCAAAAGGTTAGTTGATACACATTTGAATTATGCAACTATCTAATGAAAAAATTTTGGAAGAAATAACATTCACACAAAAGTGACTTCATAATCAGAAAGTACTTTAGCGTCGCTTAGATAATAGAACATATACGCTTAGATTTTTTTCTGTCTCAGCTTGTAACTCATAATGAAGACCTTCAACTCTTGAAACGTGAAACGAAACCATTAGACGTATCGCATCGATGTCTGTGACGATGTTTGAAATCATTATCCAACGATTTTATGGTAACTTGCAGATATTGGTTCGGTTTGTATGATGAAAATGCTCGAAATAACTTAGGTATTTGATTTTATGAGGAACAATATCCATCTATCGGAATAGCTTACTAATCATCACATTGTGTGGAATAATTCTTCAAACAATGAAATGAGTATAGTCAGCTATTCCTAAAATATAGATATGTCATCGTGGACACGAGTTGATCTTCAGTAGAGAAACAATATATAATGAATTTATTTGTATACAAGTATCTCAAAGGGATCAGAAAGCGTTTTTAATCACACAACGATCGCGTAGCGTTTTCATTCATTCTCACAAATCATAAACCATACACATAAAGCAACCTCTTGAATTAGTATATCCATTGGTGGAAATAATATGAAACTCCATTTTTTGAGTTTATTGCGTTCAGACAGACTGAGGAGGCGGGGGAAATGTATTTTACAATATTAGCAACTGCATACTGTAACCATGTAGTATTATCTCCATCTCTTCCGTAGCTTGTAAAAGTGTCTTCATGACATTGATAACTATCTTCTAAGTTTATCCATTCACTGATAGTATATAATATTGTCCTGACGTGTCCGAGCGTTTGGGTGTGATTTTCGTCAGTTTTCTGGTTGATGATCAGCCGTATTGCAGTGTTTCTGGCTTAAATAGTTAGTGTGTTGTGTTATTTGTGCAGGATAAAAACACTTCTGGTGAGTACGTTTGAATATTATCATTTTCGTTGTGTTCATTGTGCTCACGCGTGAGCAGTGTTCTTTTTCGTTTAAATATGTCCAGCAGTATGGAGGAACTGCTTCGCGGTCTGGCTGGAAGGGACAAGGCCGAGATAGTTAGCATTGTATGCCAGCTAATCTCGGGTTTTGGCCTGAATCAGGCAGATCTGCAAACAGGGAGTGGCTAATGCTCCGACTGCAAGTTGAATTTCAGCCCACGATTCTGACAATGAAAGCGTACTTTCCTTCTATTCTACCTCTACGTCGAAGAAGCGTCGCATCAGCGACGATTTTCCTCCTCTCCTAGATGTATCCAGCCGCAAGGTGAGCGACTGGATCTGGAAAGAAAAAACAAAGAAGACTAAGATAAAGAAAATATCTAAAAAAGCTGTCATAGACAGCGTTAGAGACGAGGCTCGGAACTACTATTCCGAAACCTCGCATCAATTGACCCAAAATCGGGTCAATGAGAACGCCACTCCTAGCGGCAGTATAATTAACGATGATGAAATGGAAACCGATCTTAAAGTAGCAAATGACAGTGCCTCAAACTCAGGAAGCACTGTCAAGTCAGTTCATGGGGAGGAGCCTGGTACCCCCGCCCCCCTTAAACCAACATTCGTCGGCCAAAAAAGCCAGAATTCCTCCTATTGTTGTGCGCCAGAAGGACAAATGGGTACCTCTGTTGAAGTTGACGACCCAAGAGAACATCAAGTTCTCCAAAGACGTCAACTTGCATGACGGCATAAAAGTCCAGCCGGAGACATCTGACGATTATCGACGGTTGTCCAGGCTTCTGGTGAAGAATGTTGTTTCATTAGTACTTATTTTCGATTCAATAAAAATAATGCCTTAGGTATGTGAATAATAGCGTTGTTTCATTAGATGAAATCTGCATAAGTTCCTTTTCGTACTGGATATGAGAATGAATTTTACATAACTCCTTTATTTTTCAACAGGTAACTATTATAAGAAGAATCAATAATTGATAGCAGTTCCCTAAATGTATTTTTCATCCAAATTTCATTTTCACCCAGATTACATTATTTTTGAAGAATTAAAATAGTTTTTTGTTCTCCTGTAAAATTTAGGTTCTTGGACTTATGCAATTTTCACATTCGGCCGACGATATGGAAAAAAAGGCAATTCTGAAACCGGAAATTACGTGACGTACGACACAAATGTCAATTTCAAAATTTGGAAATTAAATTAATAATTTTTAGAATAACTACAACAGATAGAACATGTAAATTAGGACCTACCAGGTATAAAAATGTATCTGTTGTAGGAAATTTGAGAAGATAGAATAAAATCTTTAGGATTAGTTTTAAACGAAAAAATGTTTTGAAAATAGAGGGTTAGAAATTTTCCTCAGATACGAATGTTGCATGATGCTTTGAAAAAAATAAGTTATTTAGAATTAAGTAGAGACATACAAAAATTTGTAAGTTAATAATAGAGAAATGTAGCTAAATGTAGGTGTTTTTATCAAGATTGTACATGTATTAGAAATATGAATATTAAATTTCATAGTTTGAACTTGTTGAAAATAACCGAGGAAAGTGGGGATTTTCAGTTTTTTTGTTAATAAAATGGGCGAAGAGCGCGGTACGTTGCCCTAACAGAACAACCTCTTTGATGAAACACGTGTTGTTGAATGTTATAGTAAAACCAATAATGATTTATAGCAGAATCAAAATATAGTAAGCAGTAGAGTTGTAGGTTGTGGTAAATTATAGATAATACACAATACTGGTACGTTTAAAAGGTATTATTTATGACAAAAATCAGTAATGAGCTTGTAATGAGTAATACTTATACATTTCCTGATTACTGATCAGTCCCTACATCATAGCGTCCCTAACTCACATTATGAACATATCTCTTCAGCAAGGACAGTTTCCTTCGCGACTGAAACATTCTATAGTTTCTCCAATCCTGAAAAAAGGAAACTCTCATAATTTGGAGAATTATCGTCCTATTGCTGTCTCCTCAGCACTCTCAAAAGTATTCGAATACATAATGTTGGAATTTCTACATAAATTTCTGAATATAAATAATGTTCTAACTCCGAACCAACACGGATTTCGATCGAATCATTCCACTACAACGGCAATAATTTCTTTTTATTCGAATCTTCTACAGGCTGTTGAAGCAGGCGAAAATCCCACTGGAATTTTTTGTGACCTCAGCCGTGCTTTTGACTGCGTACAACACGAAAATCTCCTGGACAAACTGTACAAAACGGGTATTAGAGGTATTCAGCATGAATGGTTCGTATCATATCTTTCAAATCGCACCCAGGCTGTCAAAATACAATATTCGAATGAGAATTATGACGAAACTTTTTTTTCCGATCAGTTAAATAATGACATAGGAGTTCCCCAAGGATCAGTTTTGGGGCCAATTCTTTTTNCCAGGGGTAGTACATTGGAAGAAAAGCGACATCCGACTATAAGAGTTCGTCAGTTGCATCAGTTCAGTAGAAGACTAAGAAAACTTACTTTCGATGTAAGTTCTATGAAAAATCAGTCATTGGCAGTCCTGACGACGCTGCTTTCGAAATTTGTATATAATTTCTTAAGATAACTTCTATGTAAACTATTTCATGTTATCAAGTAAAATTTTTCAGGAGTTTGGTATTGGAACAAATGATTCATCTATATATTGTTACTGTGGGTAGAAGTGCACACGTGTGTCGCCGGAGCTCTGATATAAAGTGAAATTTTGTGGTTTCTTTACCTTCGAAAATTTGAAATTCAATATCAAAACAACAGTGATAATACCGTGAAAAACTTTATGAAGACAAACATCAAATTCAAGTTCTGAGTTTATTGAAAATTAAATAATATTTAAAATCCATATAGTTAAACTAGAATTAAGCCATCCCAAACAATCCCTTCCACATCTGTTTACAATTAGGCAAAATACATGAAAGTGATGTCGGAATCTCAAGTGCCTGAACAGCCCATAAAATAGAAATAAAGCACCCTACAAGTGACAGGTCAGAACTCAGTAAATATCTCTAGAAACATACTACACCATGGATTGTTTAAAATGTGGAATAACCGGAAATGACTTGCCCTTGAGTTGTGATGGTTCTGAACGCAAAATGCATGCATAATGAGCGAATCTGAGTGCATCTGAATTAAATGTCATAGCTTTGAAAGGAAAACGGCTGTTGAAGTTTTATTGTGATGATTGCCTCACAAGGGTAAGAGTAGTAAAGTAGACGTTGAATGGAGTAGACGTGTTCGCACTGTGCTGCTTATTTTTTTGATTAAAATTCCAAGAAATCGTGCAGATAAGAATTTCAAAAGTTGTGTATAAATAGTGTGAGTGACAAACTACATAATATCTTGGCTCTGGGAACTTAGCTGTTGTGTAAACTCAGTAAGTGGTATTTTATCTATTATGGGTTCTCGAAGCAAGAAGGGCGAGGATGAACTGCAATCAACAATCAAAATTTTGGTGACAAAATTGTGTACCTCGGATGGATTCCTAGCTAAGTTGACGACTATGATCACGGAAACAATCAGCAAAGAATTTGCTAATGAAATCGAATTACTAAAAAATGAAAATTTGAAAATCTCCTCAATCATAAGAAATTAAGAGCTTTTAATCAAGTCACTTTTCAATAAACAAAAAATCAGCTATTCAGCTATTCAGAACAAAGAATATAGTACTATATGGAGTGAATTAAGGTGAAAAGGAAGACTGCTCACTGACTGTTTTGGATATTTTCAGAAAGAATATGAACCTGGATACACCCCCTGATGTTTTGGATTCGTGTCTTAGGATGGGCAAATTTACTAAAAACAAGAATCGACCGATAATAATGAAATTTTCCTCACTTCACTACAGAAGTGTCGTATTCAAGAGCAAAAAGTCTTTGAAACAAACTGGCATTATAATTCGGGAAGATCTAAAACCATTACAACACAACAAAAATTGCTGAAAGAAGCCCTCAG